CATCATTCTGGGATAGGCTCCATCCATTCCTTGTCATGCTCATGGATGGATGGACTTTTGACCAGTATATTTCTGTGTTTCAGGGTCAAGCTGAAAGATGGAGTGGCATTCTTGGGAGCTAGAGCCAGTAACCCAGTTATGTGGACGGTGAGTCAGGATGTCAGAAGTGAAGGTCACAGAGTTGTCACCCTGCACTGCCACAGGAAGGAGAACAGCTTCAGTCAAAGGTCCGTCTGACTCCCTCCTTCTACTGAATTAATGAGTGTGTGACTGAAATAATAACCTTACATCCCTGCTGAACAACCAAACAGCAGCACCCCGCTTGGTTTCTCAGGTGCTGAAAGAGCGATTGCAAAAAAAAAAAAAAAAAAAAAAGAGTATGAAGGAGAACATTATTAAATATTAATCTTTGGCACTGCCATTCATGCAGGTTCTCAGCTAGTCCCAAGTGTAGTCAATAAAATGAATTGTTTGAGGAACATAAAGTCTAAGGTATGCTTGGACTTAAAGGATAATTTTGGTAATATCTGATATTTTTCTTTCTGTCTACATACCATTAGATACTTAAAAGGATATCTGAACATGTAGCATTGTAACTGCACATTAAAGTCATTCATCAAAATACATATACTTTGCCTGCAAATGCAACAAAATCAAATGTTACACTTAAGTTTATTTTCAGCATGTTTTGCATAGGTACAATTTCTTTTAGAGGGGTTCAGGTACTGAGCACTTCGAAAAACCTCAGCCGACCCTAAATTTAGTATTGGACTTAAACACACATACATAGTCACACTGAGCATCTCGGCACACTACGCCTTCTGTGTACGCACAGCTTATTGAAATCCACTGTTACATAATGCATGCATGATGCATTAAGTATCAGTCAAACATGAACAGTCCTGCTATGGGAAACCAAATGCACAGCTGAAAACGGTGAACAACAAATATGGTTTTCCAGTTAACATCTTGTACTATCGCAAACTTTCAAGTCTTATAAAATTAATTGAATGTCAAGTATACATACATTGCATTAAGCAAGTTATTTAGACTTTGTTTTACTGCAGACACCTCTTGAGATTTCACGTTGTTGCAGTTTGGTACTGATACTTGATCCTTTGCAGCTTCTATCCAAAAATGTCTATAGCATGGTGTGATACTCTAATTACAAGCAGAGACAACTAGTGTTACATATAAAGAGGATTCAAGAAATATCAAAGAGCTGTTAGTATAAAAATCAGATTTCCAAGACAATAAGATAAACTGACACAGATGTGTAAGTATTATTGGACGTGTTAAAAACATTTTGAGATTGTAAAACCTTCATGTGCTGGTAACTAGTAATTATGCTACACTTAAGTGGTTATCAGGTAAAATGTATATAAATATTATATACTTTATATGCTGAAATCTAGCAAACCTCTAATTTACAACTATACAATGCAATTACTTAAAAGTATTTACAGGAACAAACTTAGTTAAAGTCATTATGTGTCAAAAGGATTTAAAGCACTGCATGTAGGTGATTGTTGCTCAGAGGTGGCTGTTTTCAATCAGTGAGTGATAACTGTGTGCGTGTCTCTGTGCGTGGCAGTCTACAGTACTTGACATTCACTTCTGCAGCTAAATGGCTTTGAAAAGACAAAGTAGCTCCACACAGGAAGTGACACACCCCACTGGCTGGATTGTTATTTCCTCCTGGGTGTCAAGGTGACGGCAGTGATGAAAGACAAGTCATCTATCATTTACATGTTTCTCTTTCACAGCCCTGCTGAGGGGAAGATACAGTGAATTATACAGGACCGCTCATATCAAGGTCATACATGTTGACTGCGTACTATACCTTGCAATTCACCACTCAGCAAAAGACTGCCTTGAAGTATTGAAATGACCACGAACCCGGGCTTTCAAGTTTTTTGGGTTATTCATCAAATTGAGTAATGTGGAGAATCTGTAACTTATTTAGTGTTCTGTTATTTACTACACCTGTGCATGAAATGACCATAACTGTAATTAAGAATCTCTTTGAGGGTTGTAAACTGGTAGACGGCAGCTGTCATGGTTTTTTTTTTTCTATTTTATTGAAAAGATAAAAATATGTGGAATACATAAAAAATAAAGGTATGTAAATAACATAAAATACACAAATCACAGTATGCTTCGTCTCCTGAGCAGGGGGATCCTATTGTCCACTGTCTCCCAGAGGTTTTTCAAATAAACTTCACTGGTCAGAGTCCCAGCTGGTGGGCTGAGACTCTATAACAAAAGAAAAAACAATCTAGAATAATTTTCACTTAAATACATGTATAATCCTTTAACTCTCGTACTTGCTTTTGACATACTTTTTTCATACTCATCAGTAGTATGTTCATAGTCAGGGAGACATTTTATTTGACTGCATTGACTAAAAGATATTGGTCAGATGTCCATCAACCTACTTTGCTGAGCATCAAAACAGAATCAGTAGGAGAGCTTCAAAGATGTATACCCCGAGGATGATGGCGGGGCAGTTCGACCTCAGTAGAGAGTTTGTGTGTTTTTGTCACTTCATCTGCCCACTTTCATTGGAGGTCACGAAGCAACACCACATTGCCTCCAGCAGTGTTCCCTGTCTTTTCTTGTACACATTTAGCTTTATTCTTTCCTGCTGTTATAATCTGTGTCATTGCATACTACTGTCAGTAAAAGTTTTAAACATTTGGTGCCTAAAGGAGCACCTTTAATCCACCAGTTGATTAAAGTTGGAAAGTGCATGCAGATCTTCCCACAATATTTATTTTGTGCCAAAGCCAATGTAATACCAATGTCAGTGCACAGGGGAGGTGAGTCCAAGCGAGGTGAAGAAGAGAGTGCAGGCAGGGTGGAGTGGGTGGAGACGAGTGTCAGGGGAGATTTGTGACAGAAGGATGGCAGTGAAAGGAAATGTTTACAAGATGGCTGTAAGACCTACTATGATGTATAGTTTGGAGGCAGTGGCACTAAAAAGAAGACATGAGGCTGAGCTGGAAGTGGCAGATAAAGATTTTCACTGGGAGTGACCAAGATGGACAGGATTAGAAATGAGTATATCAGAGGGACAAATCAGGTTGAGCAGTTTGGAGTCAAAGTTAGAGAGGCAAAGCTGAGATGGTCTGAAAACATGCGGAGGTGAAATAGTGGATATGCTAGACAAAGGATGTTGTTATGTAGCTTCCAGGTAGGAGGAAAGACCACAGAGCAGACTCATGGATGTAGTGAAGGAGGACATGCAGAGGGCAGGTGTGACAGAAGAGGATGCATGTGATAGGGTGAGATGGAGGCAGACCCCTAAAGAGACCAGCGGAAACAAGAAGATTTAATGTAATATAAAACCTTACAAAAGTCATAATAGCAAACATAGATTTTAGGGAATTTAGATGAAAGCATTTTCCCTCTTAGGTAATGAAAACTGACAACATAGCCACAAAAGGGGAAGAGAGAAATCTCTGCAGCGCCATGATCTATTAAAGTCAAAGGTGGACTTGGAAGCTATTTCGAGAAGGCACAGATAATCATGATAAATAGAGATTACAGAAATAAGCAGTAACTGTTAATGTGTCTACCCTAAATAAGTAGGGTAGTATCATGAGTTCTCAGGTCCAGTACATTTTAACTCACCATGACAAAATTTAGACTTCAGACTAAAAAAATCACATTTTAATCACACGTTCATACATTGTTCTGCAGGGCGTCATAAATGTCTCTTCCAGTTGTTTCCATCACTGTCCATAGGACCAGAGTCCAAATGTATGTAGCATAGGCATTCAAACATACCAGTTGATTTTGTTTGTCAATGAGGCTTTCAGCTATCTCCAAAGCTGCAGGCCTCGTCAGCACTCCTGTTTTATGGCCTCTACCAACCCCCATCACCTCACTTCAGGCCTTCGTCCTGTGGGGGGTACTTATGACTCCTCCACTCTCCATCCTCTGCAGAAAAACCCCTCTGTGGAAAGGGTGTTGGATCCAGTTATCTTTACTGCTGTTATGATCCCACCTGTTGAGTCACCTCAGCAGTCTTGTAGAAGTGGTCATGGTGCAACACCATAGCTTCTGGTTCCTGTGCTTTTCACAGAATCATGATGCCATCCTTGGACTCCTGCGCTGTCGATGGAGCTTGGCACGCTCCCCTAATCCTTCAGGTGCCCGTCTGTTGTCCACAATCTCCTCTGTTGGCCTCTGGAAAGCCCCCTTAGCACAGGTCTCATTCCAGCGCAGCTTCATGGTCCTTGCTGTGGCTCCGAAATCTGATCTCATGATAGGCCCAAACAGCTCGACCTTCGACCTCAACCACTGCCTGGGCTGTCTGCTATGCCTGGAATGGTTCTTGTTTCTCACTGGGCCTCTGAAGATTTCTCAGGAGATTCCTTTCAGCAATACTCTGACTGCTGCACCTGTATTTCCTTGCTAGGAGGAAAAACCTTCTATTTGGAAAGCACGTCAACCATCATCAAACCACACTCTTTAGTTCAGTGAACTTCACTTATGGACCATCAAAGCCTCATCTGAACATGGATGCACCACTTGTATAGGTGTAATATCTGTAAATGAACTGTTAATCCCACAAATCACTGCAAAAATCATAGAAAACATAGTTTCATGTTAATTCTGGACCCCTCCTCTTGACGCATGGACACCCCCATGTGTCAACTCATCAAACCTAGATTCCTGTCTTAAAGAAAAAGGTCAGCTAGATCATGTCCCAGGCAACATCAGGGTGTCTCTGAGTTAACTGTACCTAACTTAAGCTCAGTCAGCAACAGTTTCCTATACAGTTATACATTTTTCTTTAAAGTACATCCAGCATATACAATGCTTTCTTTTGCTGTTTTAACAAGTGTACAAAATAACTTAGGTACTGTATATTAAGACTAAAACTTAATATCATATCTGCACTAATTGATATGACATAATTTGTGAACAACTAAACACTGTTGGCAAGATTTAACTATGAATAGAGTGAATTGAGTGTTCAATCAGTGACCATAAAATATATTACCTGATCTAATCACTAAAAGATAAATGCTGTGTCATCTGCCAGTTCTTTATTTGTGTGTTTTTACTGATAAGTTGGATAATAGCTATTTTTTTTGGCTAAATTTATGCGTGCTGTTTTTCTCAATAGCCATTCTATCTGGAAGTGTAGTGCCAAATTTGGATGAACAGTGTTAAATAACAGAGAGAAATTAAATGTCACTCAGTGTCTAGGTTA